TATGAGGGCTGGTGCAAAGCGGGTAAGGAGACGCCTTATGGACAGCTTTCGCATGAACCCTAAAAGTGGTGGAGCGGTGGCTCAAGGCCATCGGGGCGGGCACGTGTCTAGGGCCGATTGCCGGCGCCGAAGGTGTCGTGGTTTCGTCATTCTCCGAGGCGAGAATTTGTCCGCGTCAGGAGCTCATCCATTCACCCTCCCGCCATCCCGCCAATGAATTTTGCTACCCTATCTTCGCCTTCTATCCTTGAGAATGTCGACTGCGCCCCCTGCCTGTTCAACTCCCTCTCATCTTAGGTAGACACTGATTGCCTGCCCCCCTCACCCTCGATCGAGCTATGCGCGGCACCTTGACCTTCTCGGCCAAGGCGTGGCAGAGTCCTGGAAATGGAGCTCTATTTTCGCGCATACAGCTTCGGACGCCGCCGACATCTACCCTGATCCATAGAACGTTCGTATCAAAACCACATGCCACGACCTGCGCCGCAGTGCCTCGCTCCAATGGTATCCAACTCGCGCCTCGCACATCCGCCTTCTCCCCGCTACATCGCACGCTACCCACGTTTCGACTCTTCTCCATCTCACGAACCCTGTCCGAGGCTAAGAACACCACCAATGTGCCCGTCAAAGCAAAAAAGTCTTACAAGGAGGAGATGAGAGAGAAGGGAGCAGTCGACGTCGAAGAACATGAACCGGAAGAGGAGGGCTTTGTGAAGTCGGAGAAGGCATCGGCAGCCGCCAAGGTCAATCTGAGCGCAAAACTGAGCAAAGATGGAGGAGGAAGCGGTAGCCAAGGTGGGGGCATGAAGGAGATTTGGAGGCTGATCAAAGTTGCCCGGCCTGAGGCGAAAGCCCTCTCTGCTGCCTTTGTGTTCCTCTTGATTTCGTCGGCCGTATCCATGTCAATACCCTTCTCGATTGGGAGGATTCTGGACATTGCGACAAAGTCGGGTGGCTCTGGAGAGATGCTATTTGGCCTGGATTCTACCACATTCTATCTTGTGCTGGCTGGTGTCTTGACTACTGGTGCCGCCGCTAATTTCAGCCGTATTATCATTCTCCGAATCGTTGGCGAGCGCATTGTTGCAAGGCTTCGTTCGCAGCTGTACCGCAAGACCTTCATCCAAAATGCCGAATTCTTTGACGCAAATCGGGTGGGCGATCTAATCTCTCGTCTGGGCTCGGATACTATCATTGTGGGCAAGAGCATTACGCAAAATCTGTCGGATGGGCTGCGCTCCATTGTTAGTGGCGCCGCTGGTTTCGCCATGATGGGTTATGTCAGTTTGAAGCTCACCGGAATTTTGGCTTTGATCGGGCCACCTGTTGCTATGGTCGCCTTCTTTTCCGGTCGCTCATTGCGCAATCTCAGTCGCAAGATCCAGAAAAATCTGGGAACTCTTACCAAGGTGGCGGAAGAGCGTCTCGGCAATGTCAGGACCAGTCAGGCTTTTGCAGGCGAAGTCCAGGAGGCTGCACGGTACAATCGTCAAGTGAAGAGGATATTTCAACTTGGCAAGAAAGAGGCCATTGTTGCGGCAACGTTCTATGGTAGTACTGGTTTGATGGGAAATCTGACGGTCATCGCTGTGCTTTATGCTGGCAGTAGTATGGTCAAGTCTGGTGCCATCAGTATTGGCGAGCTATCCTCTTTCTTGATGTACACGGCATACGCGGGATCAAGCATGGTCGGGCTTTCTGGCTTTTGGGGTGAGATGATGAAGGGCGTCGGAGCTGCCAGTCGCCTTTTCGAACTACAGGATCGTAACCCTACAATATCGCCCACTGTTGGATTGCCAGTGAAGTCCGCACGCGGACCCATCGAATTCAAAGATGTAACTTTTAGCTATCCTACTCGACCAGCAGTTGCCATTTTTAAGGATCTCAACTTCAAGATTGATCAGGGGACCAATGTCGCAATCGTAGCCCCTAGTGGAGCCGGCAAGTCTACTGTGGCTAGCTTGTTGCTACGATTCTACATTCCTACGAAAGGAACAATCACTATTGATGGCCGAGACATCACCAAGCTCAACGCGAAGCAGCTTAGGAGGAAGATTGGTTTCGTAGGCCAGGAACCAGTCCTTTTCTCAGGAACCATCGCAGAGAACATCGCTTATGGTGTACCACATGCGACACGCGCTGAGATTGTTGCGGCGGCTCGTAAGGCGAATTGCCAGTTCATAAGTGACTTTGTGAGTTTCCAAAGCCTCCATTTGAGAGATCAAATATCTAACAGATCCTAGCCGGATGGATTGGAAACACATGTTGGTGCCCGAGGAACACAGCTTTCCGGGGGTCAGAAGCAGCGCATTGCCATTGCCCGGGCTCTAATCAAAAAGCCCGATATTTTGATCCTTGATGAGGCAACTAGTGCGTTCACATTATTCTGTCTCACTGTCCTTTGCTAACATCAGCAGGTGCTCTTGATGCGGAATCCGAGACACTCGTAAATCAAGCTTTAGGAAAGCTACTCCAGGAGAAGAATACCACAATAAGCATCGCACATCGTCTATCAACCATTAAGCGCTCAGACCGGATCATCGTTATTGATGCCGATGGCAAAGTTGCTGAGGAGGGCACGTACAATGAACTTGCAAGTAACCCTGACGGCGCTTTCAGCAAACTTATGGAATGGCAACTTAGTGGACAGGAGCCGCCTCCCCGCAACGATCCTAAGCCAACTGAGATTGAGGAGATTGAAGAGGAGCTGGAACACGAGCGAGATGAGGCAGAAACATCACGCCACGAGCACAGGCCGTAATCTATATGTGAAGCGTAGTTAAGCGGCGACGATGAACGAAAACATGATGTGTACACATTGTGGAGAAGACATGCATGTGCTCGGCATCGTGGACTCTTTTCAACGAATTCAAATCGGGCCCTGATCCCGACAATTCCCGGTTGCCGATTTACGCGGTCTGGGCGGTACCATTCTGGGATCGGTGTTTTGCTTAGGGAGGCTCAACGGAACGGCTGCATGGCACGGTGGTGGACTTATTTTGGCGAATGATCGTACGATGCTTCGAGCCTCAGAAGTTTCGGTCAGCATCGCCCCAATTATTGCTAGACAACACAGCATGGGAGGCAGAATGCAATTGCGACTGGATCATGGATAGATCTTGGTGGTGGCGCGAGCAAAAAAATCTCGTTCAGAAGGGAAAACAGCAACAGGGTGGCGTCGAAGCTTGTATATTATTCTCCTCTCCCATACCCGGCTGTCAGGCTACATTGAAATACACCGTACAATTCACGAGTTCCTGCTCATATCGCAACATATCTTACTAATCCACATTCGGCACAACTTTGCCGTGGAGTACAACCATCTCGTGTTCTCCTCAATCGAAACCTGAGTAGTTCGCTTACTCATCCACTTTCACCATCCTCATTACTCCTCACGTCCGTCTAGACTTTACACCAATCCCCCAACTACAACCATGATTAACGCTATGTCAGATAACGCACCAACCCCATCGCGCCGCTTGCACGTAATCGCGATTCGCGCAACCCCTCCCGGACGTAACCACTCAATCATAACGTCCAAATCCTGACGTCATCGCCATCCAGACCAATCGCGATTACCCAGCCATACACAAAGAGGGCGTAAAAGAGAGTAACCAAAGCTTAGAAGCATGCCTCACGCGTCCGAAACCGAAATCGAAAGTTCTAGCCCCTCGATACAAATACCTTCCCCCTCCCTCGAACAACTACAAAAAGAATACTGCCACCACTCCCCCATGCTTAAAACAGCCCAATTCACAAGCTACCGCCTCACGCACCGCTCCCCCTCCTACTACCACGCAGCCTCCCGCCTCAACCTCAGCCAAATCACGCCACTGAACCAGAACCAGAACCAGAACCAGAACCGGCAATCCCCCTTCCACACCTCGTCCCCCACGTTGCAAGGCCCAGACCACCACTCCGTAGCCTCAGCCCAACAGGACCAATCTAGCGTACAGAAATACAAAATGGCGGGGAATCGCGAGAACCAGCCGCCGAAGCACGAGATGGTGCATTTCGAGGGCCTTTTGAGTAAAGCAAGGAGGTTTGGCGATTTCCGAACCGTGTTGCATACGGGGCTTTACAGCCAGCTGGTCGCCATGGAGGTGCCCGTGAACGGGGAGATTGGAGACGAGGTTCGTACTGCCCAAGCATCCAACCAAGCATGACATTGCGTTGCGTATAGGAGAGAGAAAACTGGTACGGAATATATGCTGATTCAATTTTTTGTTTTGTTTCTGTAGGTGCACACCGTCGACCAGATCCTTCTCTTCACCTCCGGACGCGGGCTAGCGACCGTGGCGGGCAAAGACCAGGAAGTCAAGGCGGGAGATGTGGTGGTTGTCCCCGCGGGCACGCAGCATCAGTTTGTGACGAAAGGGGATCAGCCGCTCGAGCTGATCACGGTGTATGCGCCGGCGGAACATGATCCGCAGACGGTGCATCGGACGAAGGAGGAGGGGGATGAGGCCGAGGAGGCCGGACGGGATGAAGCGCCCGAGTGGGCGGGGAGGAGCAAGGGGTACAATGAGGAGAAGGGGCTTGTGAAGGAGAGCGGGAAGTATGATTGAGAATCTGCGGGAATGCTCTCAGGAAATCGGAGCTTGTATAGTACCTTGGGATACGGATGGAACAGGTCGGGTGGCTGGGATTGTATTATATGGGAATTAGGGTAATTACGATAATGAATCAAGAAAAGTACATGTAACATATAGTCCACACACTTCCACTACAAACTATACCAATCTTTTCCACCACCTAATACAAACCTTAATTAACCTATTCCCAACCCCAATCCGTGCAAAAAAAATAAACCCCCCCCCCACCTCCAGCCCCTCTACCCCACCACTCCACTACAACCCCACTTCACAACAACAAATTTCTCCGACTCGATCCCCACCAGCCCCTCAACCCAAAAAGACTCGCTCATTTTCTCTCAATTTTCCAACTTCCTGTTATTATATGGATGTGTTAGTGATGAAACCGCTTACAAATCATCTCAAGTCTCGTTGGTGTAGTTGGTTATCACGTGGGTCTCATATCTTGCATATATGATCTGATAGGACTATCAGAGTAATCCCAAGGCCGCCAGTTCGAGTCTGGCACGGGACAAGACGTGGAGCGATCGAGAGGTCGTTGATGATTTTTTTTGCCTTTGATGACTAGGTGGGGTGGATGATGCGGCTTTGGCAGTCGGTGGTGGAGTATGATGATACATGTTGGTAGCTTTTTAGATGGCATCGAGGCAAGCTCGTGTATGCGATGAGGATTGTAGGGAGGATTGTAGGGAGGATTGTAGAGAGGATTGTAGAGAGAAATGTGGTAGATGGGTAATGGATACATTGACGCTGTTTAGGATATCAGTCCAAGTCTGGATAGATTTCTGGTTTATTTTGTATTAGTAGGAGATTAGTAGAATGACCATCAAGAAGAACAAAATGGCAGAAAAGATACGATATACCTGCCCGTTGGTGCCATGTTGATAACAAGGCTAGGACCCTGAAAATGGGAGGCCAATGGAATGTTACTCCTAAGTGTTCTTAACGTTGCGTCTGAAATTGGTCCAGGATTGTAATTATTCATGTGTCAGATCAAGTGGTATCTTTGAATGTCAATGCGCGTTCTCCTTTTGGCACTTCATGGTCCATGAACTTGATTTGTTTCGCCTATGGCTTCTTCTAACTGCGATTGGAACGGCGAGTGCTAGTAATGACAGCCGGTATAATTTGTAAGTTATTGTTCACGAACACGTTGTGGAGGACAAAAGACATGGATTGGGCCAGATGGACCGGCAGGCGTTGAGGATGCGGGCCGGCCCAAAGACGCAGAGAATAGCAAAAAGCAAAGCTGGTGGCTATGATTCTGTACATTAGTGCTGCCACCAGGTATTGTGTCATCTCTGCTAGAAGGTATTTGAAAGATGTTATCAGAGTTTGGTGAGCGTTGGGCTACGCTACTAGTTGTCGGCGCGAGTACAAAGGTAAGTGCATGTTGTAAGCGTTCCAAGATAGATAGGATGATTTGGCCGATGTCGGACTGTCGAATACGGCAATGCAGACGACATGTAGGAAATTGCAAGGTGTTGTCAAATGACGACAAGTGCATGATAGTAAATGATGGCAGACGAGGCCTGAAATGGACAGGAAGAAATCCCTCTGCCATAATAATGACGAAAGGAGCAGTAGGTAGCTGTCATGGGAGGAACGAATGGAAAAATCGCCGATTGATAGAGGATGTCGTGTGGTGTCGACTGGCGCAGTGTCGCATCGTATCAGAGAGTAGGCGCCCTCTCTGTGTGCATTCGCGACAGTCTAGAAGAGAGAGTAGGGAGAAGCGCGTGTATGTGTGTGTGTGTGTGTGTGTGTGTGAGTGTGTGTGTGTGAGTGTGTGTGGGGCCGCTAAAGAGAGCCCAAGAGGGAAAAAGAGGGAAACCCCGCCATGATCAGGCAATGTCACGAACAACGTTTGGAGGTACGTAAAGCGAACACGCGGGCTGCTGGTCCCTGCTGGTCCCTGCTGGTCTAAGCCATCGAGTGTCGCAAGCGATGCCGTACATGATTAGATGGTGATGGATGGAGGTATGTTCTCCGAGATGATGAATATGTTTGTCGAAGAAGGTGGAATGGACCATGTTTCAATCGACAATTGGGCGAGGGCAGGCAGCGGCAGGGTCTGGGAGAGAGCCTTATCAGGTAATTTTCTCCCCCGCGCCCCCCGCGGAAGGCATCTCGCATGCGACGTCAGTCAAGTGCAGAGCGGTAGTGGATGGCGGTTGGCGACGGAGGGGCAGAAGACAGCACTGAGCATGGTCTGGAATAGCGCGCACATCTGCCGTGATGGACGCAGGTTATTGCGAGCAGCGAGGGGCCCGGGGGTAAACGAAAAGGAAAGGAAGGGGATAGAGAAAGGGAAAAGGAAAAGGAAAAGGCCACTGCGACGGGACAGCGTATCCGGGGATAACGAGCATCGAGTGCATTTGATATTCGGGATGGGCCTGTTCTGGACTTGGGGAGAGCGAGGCTGCTGAGGAGAGCACTCGGGCCATCTGGGTGTGCGAACGACCGAATGAACTCGTGAGTGAAACAGCGACACGGCGAGGATTCAGGGGCTATGGGTTGCTCGGAAGATGCGAAAAGGGTGACTCGGGCGGTGTGAGAGAGCGACAGTGCGACGGGCTTGGTGAGGTGGTGGTGGTGGTGGTGGTGCTTTGTTGAAGGTTCGAGAGGGCTGGAGCGTCAGCAAAGTCAGGAGACTGCCGAACGACCAACAGCAGTGACTGCGGTTGAGAAGCTGAGCAGGATGGACACGGAATGGGATGGCATTGGCATTGGCATTAGCATTGACACTGGCATTGCGATGGGGCACACGGTATGCACACACGGTATGCACACACATAGTAGTACGGCGGATGGCGTAGGGGAAGGCGGAAGGATGCGCGCCTTGTGCGGTGGTGACCGTCACTTGTTCAGGTCTGGGTCTGGGTTTGGGTTGGGGGTGAATGAGCACCCAGTTGGTGATGCATTGATGCATTCTACCTGGCACTAATTAATTATCAGATGGGAGGGAGGAGGAATGACACAGCCGAGGGCCGCGATTAGCAACCGCAGAAGAGTACGAAGTAGGCCCGCGCAGAAAGCCAGACGAGGCCGATGTCACTCTCCGAGAGGGAAGGCTTGTGCAGCATCTGCAGCTGCAGCCACAGCCAGAGACGATACAAGCAATCGAGGAAGATAATTTAGTCGGGCTGGAGCGGGTGACGTTCCGCTCGGGTGGATGATTCGGCTACATGGCACATGGCAGATGGCAGATGGCAGATGGCAGATTGCAGATGTTATCTGATTGATGAGTAGACAAGGAGGAAGAAGTGGCAGTAGGTGTGGATTGTCATGGTGTGTATACTCTTGAGTCTTGACTATCTTCTATGGATACTTCTATGGATACATGTGGGATAGTTTGTTTCTCTGGAGGAGCTCCGCGCGCGTAGAATATTTCCGAGGACCATTCGGCAGTAAGGATTAGTAGCAGTCGTCCCCAAGCCATGCCAATCGCCTTTTCCTTGCTGAGAGAGAGAACCTCCCCATTGCCCATCCGAGGGGGAGCAGCAGAAAGCCCAGCGAGAAAAAAAAAAGACGTCAACGACCCGCCCGCCGCCGAGTATCGACGCACATCCACCGGCGCATCGACGCATCGACGCATCGGCCCATGATTCTCAACTTGTCCTTTGGCGAAGCTGGTCCCAGTCCTTTTCAGAAGAAGAAGAGAGTACTTTAGCACTTGTTCCTCCATCCATCCACCCATCCATCTATTACTCCCTCCCACCTCCTCTTCGTCTCTACCTCCATCACTCCTCCATCACTCCTCCACACTCGGCCGCACTAATTTAACCCTTTGATTTCTACTGCGCATCCATTCACGGCCACGGCCACGACCGCACTTAGCCTACGCACCACCCACTCTAGTCCTGGTGCTCCTCGCCGCCCATCTTTCAATGCCGTCTCTACTCTCGCCTCTTTAATACAAGCCTAAACCCTCCCTCGCACCCTCCCTCCACTCGAGTGCTTTCTTCCTTTGCCCACCGTGTCGTCTCAGGTCTTGCGCGCTCAACAGCGGCTGTCGCTCCTTTCGCGCTCATCACCCGTCGGATATAGATTCTTGTCGTCGTTGTCGTCGTCGTCGTTGATTGACATAGGAGGTGAGTCGGTCTGGTAGCACATGCGCGCGCACACACACACACACAAACCCACCCACCCACCCACCTCCCACCAAACCCCCACGATCTGATAAAAAAAACCCGCCCCTCCCCAAAAATCCATCAGATAATGCCAACAACGTCGTCACTTCTCCGCGTTCCGTGGGCTTACAAAAGCAACCGCTGCGCAACTGCACTCTGCATTTCCAACCCATCGCGCAATTGATGCCGCTGGCTGATAATTCCCATTGTCGGGCTGCAATTCAATCAAATCGCCTTCCCTTTCTGACTCAGATCTTGCTAACCATGACCCGCTCCACCCCCAGGCCCGCCCTTTGTCGCGTCTTCTTCTCCTTCAAAACCTCCGCTCTCCCACCACTTTTCCTACTCTCGTCACAACTTCCACCACCACCACCACCACCACCACCCCCTGTCTAGACGTCTGCTGCCATCGCCCATCGTCTTCACACGCACAATGGCATCCGCAACACGGCCTGCTGGTCATCACAGTATTCCTACCACGGCCACCTCCCATCCCGACGACCCAATCCCTTCAGAGCCTCGGGCCATCCCTCAGCTCTCGCTCCATCCCACGCCAGACCAGAAGCACACCTCCACATCCCCTCGCTCCTCCGCCGAGTCCATAACATGCAGCAGCGATAACAGCAGTGACTCTGAGGCCCCCATGACCCCCAACACTGAGGTGCAGATGGATGAAATTGTCGACAAGCTGCAAGCTCTGCCTGCCGCCGCCATCAACCTCAACGATGGCACTCCTCGCCAGCGAAGAGCTTCCACCACACTCATTTCAGAGAGCCCGGCCGACATCAGACGGCTACTGGGCGAGAGCGAGACGGCCACCAAGCTTATCAGCCAATGCTGCGGCGGTGGTTGCTGTTTGCTCAAGACATTGGCCCCAGATACCTCGTCGCCGAATTTCGAACCTGTCGTCATCCCCGACAACCAAGCCTTCCGTAGCTTGAACCTCAGGCTGGGTCCATTGGGCCTCGACACCGAACTCACAAATATCTTCGACCTCCCTCCCGTCAACATGTCCTTCGAGCCAATGCCTTCCAAGGATGTCAAGCACGTCACTACCGTCCACAAGGAGCCTCCCAAATACGTACAGCCACACCCGCCTTATGATGTCTACTCGGCTCCCGTGTACCACGCACGTGAGTTGACAAAGCCGGGAGCAGAGAAGAGGACCTTCCACTTCGACCTTGATGTCACCGACTACCCGGACGAGGGTGGCGTTGACTTCAAGGTTGGTGGGGCCATTGGTATCTGCCCACCCAACTCGACCGAACTTGTGGATGAGCTCTTCGATGCTCTGTGCATTCCCAAGTTCGTTCGAGACAAGCCTGTCACACTCAAGACGAACAACGGTCGCTGGCCCACTATCTGGGGTGATGATAAGCCA